AATTCTGGCTACTCGGAAGGCTGAGGCGTAAGGATTGGTGGAGCTCAGCAGGTCGAGGCTGCGGTAGCCGGAAGCAGCCACTGCACTCCAGTCTGGGCGACACAGTGAGACTCCAACTAAAAACAAAAAAAAAAATTAGCTGGGCATGGTAGTGCGCGCCTGTAGTTCCAGCTACTTGGAAGCCTGAAAGCAGATGGATCGCCAGAGCCCAGCAGGTCGAGGATACGGTGGCCGGGAGCGTGCCACTGCACTCCAGCAAGGGTGACAGAGTGAGACTCTAACTCAAAAAAAAAAAATTATTTAAAAAATAATAATAATAATTGAAAAACTGGATAACGGCATGCGAAAGAATGAAGCTGAACCCTTACCTAGCACCATATACAAAAATTGACTCACAGGAATTAAGGACTTAAATGTAAGACCTAAAACCATAAACTTATTAGAAGAAAACATAAGAAAAAGCTTCAAAATATTGAGATTCCTCAGACCTGATACCAAAGGCACAGACAATAAAAACAATAAAAAAGACCAGTGGGACTTCTTACAAAGTCTTGTGTGCTGTTGGTGGGAGTGTCAAATGGTGCAGTTGTTATGGAAAACAGTATAGAGGTCACCAAAGAATTTAAAAATAGAACTACCATATGATCCAGCAGCCCCACTTCTGGGCATTTATCCAAAAGGATTGAAAATAGAACCGCGAGAAGTGATGCTTACACTGCCGTGTTCACTGCAGCGTTATCCACAATAGCCAGGAGGTGGAAACAACCTGAATGTTCATCATGGATGGGTGGATAAGGAAAGTGCAGCACATTTTTATTATTATTTGGGGGGATATGAAAAAAATATTTATTTATTTTTTATTTTTTTGAGTAGGAGTCTCACTCTGTCGCCCAGACTGGAGTGCAATGGCCGCTCCCGGCCACCGCAGCCTCGATCTGCTGGGTTCCGGTGATTCTTCCGCCTCAGCCTTCCAGGTAGCCGGAACGAGAGGCGTGTGCTACCACGCCGGGCTCATTTTTGATGTATTGTAGAGACAAGGTCTTGCCAAGTTGCCCAGGCAGGTCTCGAACCCGCAGGCTCAGGCAATCCACTCTCCTCGGCCTCCCAAAGTGCTGGGATGACAGGTTGAGCTACCGAGCCCGGCCGAAAAAAATATTTTCATAGTATACCTGAGAGTCAGCTGGCAGCATAATTTTTCTTCTATTTCTTAAAGAAATTGTCATTTTAATCAATACTGTAATTGTACATATTTATGGGGCACAGTGTGATATTTTGATACATGCATACAGTATGTGATGGTCAAACCAAGGTAACAAGCATATCCATAACCTCTAATTTTCCTTGTATTGGGAAATTTCAAAACTCACTCTTCTAGCTATTTGAACATACACAATAACATGTTAACCATAGCCACCCTATAGTGTTATAGAACATAGAACTTATTCCTCCCATCTAGCTGCACTTTTGTATCTGTTAACCAACCTCTCACAATTCCCCTTCCTTCTAAACTGTTCCCCGACTCTAGTAACCACTATTCCAACCTCTGCTTCTACGAGAGCAACTTTTCTTTTCTTTTCTTTTTGAGTTGGAGTCTCACTCCGTCGCCCAGACTGGAGTGCAGTGGCTGCTCCTGGCCCCCACAGCCTCGACCTGCTGGGCTCCAGCGATCCTTCTGCCTCAGCCTTCCAAGTAGCTGGAACTACAGGCGCGCGCTACCACACCTGGCTAATTTTTTGATTTATTGTAGAGATGAGGTCTCACCAAGTTGCCCGAGTGGGTCTCGAACTCGCGGGTTCAGGCAATCCACTCACCTCAGCCTCCCAAGGCACGGGATTACAGGCTGAGCCACCGAGCCCGGCAATAGCATTTAATTGTGTATATATACACCACACTTTCTTTATCCTACCATGAAATATTATTCAGCCCTGAAAAAGAAGGCAATTCTGCCGTATTCGACAACGAATCTTGAGGACTTTACACTAAGTGAGATAAGCCAGTCACAGAAAGACAGCGAGTCTGTCTAGATGTGGTCGCTAAAGTGGTCCAGCTCGTAGGAGCCAAACGTCAAGTGTTAGGAGCTGTGGGCTGAGGACAGGGGAAGATGAGGAGTTGCTGCTCTAAAAATAGAGTTTTAGTCATGCAGATAAGAAAGTTCTGGAGATCTGCTGTATGACAATGTGCACACAACAAACGATATCGCACTGCACACTTGAAAGTTTGTAAAGAGGGCAGGTTTCATGTTAGGAGTCTTGTTTCTGTGTTTGTTTCATTTTTTTCTCTTCCCCACAATTAAAAAGAAGAAAGCGCCCACATCCCAAGCCCTGGTGAGGGGCCCTCCTCGCTGCTGTCTCTTGCCCGGCCGAGGCTGCTGTCTCTCCTCCTCCTGACCAGCTGTCCTTGGCTCTCAACTTCCTCTGTGGTCATGCAGTTGCTCAGAAGTAAAGGTCCACAGGCAGGACACTGCGGGGAAGGAGAAGTTGCTGTTTCCTCTGCAAGAACACCCACACCTGCACTCACCACTTTCCGCCTTCCCTAACCTTTGGTTGCGCTAAGTGCTAAAATCGGCATATGGTGAGCCCTCGTGCTCTATGGCTATTTAAGGCCATGGTGGAACCCGTTTGCTGGAAAACACGATCCCAGCTCTCGTGGCTAACTTCCTGACTTTCTGTTTCTCTCTACCCCATAGAGTTGGGCATGTTAGGCAAGCTTGGCAGGTCAGCAGTCCTCGGAGCCTCGAGGGGAATTTCCCAGAAGTGTGCATGGGGTGGGGCAAGGGTGCAAGGGTGTGTGTGGGGGGGTTGGTATTCAGGACAGACAACCAATAACATCTGCTCTACCTCAGTGGAGTCTCTTTGATGGAGTCCCAAGAATAATGACCCAACCATACTGGCTCCAAAGAGATCAGGGCATTTATTGGAGAGCAACAGTAAGAAATGATGGGAACAGCACCAACAGCAGACTGATGAGTGCCCATGACCATTGCCCATCAGAGTCGGGTGGAGCTGAGGCACCTGAGCTCTGGCTGCCCTCCCGAATGCGGCGTCATCCCTTGGTCTGGCAGGATCTTTGCAAGGCAGGATTTAGGGAAGTGTCCATAGAGGCAGGGCCCTGAGGCTGGGGGACCATGGGGCTTGGACCCCCAGCATGATTCAGAGGCTCTGAGTCTGCCTTAAACTCTCTCCTTTATGGGCACTGTGGCATTTTCTTCTTCTTCTTTTTTTTTTTGAGTTGGAGTCTCACTCTGTCACCCAGACTGGAGTGCAGTGGCACGCTCCCAGCCACTGCAGCCTTGACCCGCTAGGCTCCGGCGATCCTTCCACCTCAGCCTTCCAAGTAGCTGGAACTACAGGTGCGCGCCACCACACCCGGCTAATTTTTTATTTATTGTAGAGATGAGGGGAGGGCTTGCCAAGTTGCCCAGGTGGGTCTCGAACCCCTGGGCTCAGGCGATTCACTCACCTCGGCCTCCCAAAGTGCTGGAATTACAGGCTGAGCCACCGAGCCTGGCCTCACTGTGACATTTTCAGGCCCACTGTTGACCAGAGCCCTAAACTAAGTTCAAACTCGGAGAAAGTTTCTCTTTGATTGAAGGGCAATAAGAAGGGATTATAGAACAAGGGGCAAGGGGGAAGGGAGGCTCCAGGTGCCATGCTAAGAGAGGGAATCCTTTATCCCCTGCTGAGAATCAGGGCCCACCTATTGGGACAAAGGCAGGGTGGACACGTCCTCACGGATATTCAAAGGCAAACATTCCAAACACATGTGCGCGTACAGGCTCGGGGGTGGCGGGTGGTGGGGGAGCACATCTCCAGTGGGGCTGTTTCTCCTCAAAACAAGTGCAGGTCCCTTTCGCGTGAGGGCCTCTCACCCGTATGGTGCAATGTGGCCATACACAAGAGCATCGTTGCTACGGGTGAGGCATGTGAAACCGACAGCACCCTTTCCCTCGGACAGTTCCCATCATTAGTACGGTCTGGGCAACATCACTGAAGAGACAACGTCGTTTCCCTGAAACAGTCTCCATGATGGCCCTCCGTATCTTGAGGTAGTTTTCAAGGTTGGACAAGGTTTCGGGGAGAAGAGACCCAAGCAGTTGTGCTGGAGAGATGCCCAAGCCCCAGGGAGGGAGATGGGTGGCTGGGAGCTTGGGCAGCCAGGACGGAGGAGGAGGAGGAAGGAGGAGGAAGCCGAGCATGGGGCAGGTCCAGGAAGGCTTCCGTACCCACCCCAGCCCTGTGGACTCAGCTGCATCCTCCCTGGGCAGAGGGGACGTCCAATCTCTCATGTCCCAGAGCCAGGAACTCAACTCAGAGTCACCCTCCTTGTGGTGGGGAGGGATCAGTCAGAGTTTCCATGAACATGAGTCATCAAAACCCAACTTGACGGGCAGAGGCATGCTTACAGCCACCACAGCCTCGACTTGCTGGGCTCAGGAGATCCTTCTGCCTCAGCCTTCCGGGTAACTGGAACTACAGGCCTGTGTCATCACACCCAGTTAATTTTTTTTTTATTGTAGAGATGAGGTCTCCCCAAGTTGCTCAGGCTGGTCTCTAACCCCTGGGCTCAGGCGATCCTCTCGCTTCAGCCTCCCAAAGTGCTGGGATGACAGGCTTGAGCCACCACGTCCAGCCTGAAAAGAAGATTTTTTAAAAAATGTATATATCAGATGCTCAGGCAAAGAGGGTGTTGAGCTGGTCTTGGAAATGACAGAAACCAAGGACCATGTGGGTCTCCTCTCTCTCTCTCTCTCTCTCTCTCTTTCTGTCTCTCTCTGTCTCTGGCTTCAATCCCAGGCTCGGTGCCTGAGTTATTCCAACTGAGGAACATGGTTGTCCAAGGTTTAGGTTCTATCTCAGCAGCTTCTGACCAAGAGAACAAGATGCTGGCACCCAGGAGGAGATGACAGCTCAGGAGGGGCCCAAGCTATGTCCCCGTGCTGTGCAGAGCAGGGATGTGGTCACCAGCCTCCAAGGCCAGGGTGGAGGCCCAGTGTCCCTAACCTCAGTCGCTGTATCCTGTGGACTCAGTGGTGTTTCTTCCACATCTGGGATCTCCTTTGGAAATGGGGTCCAGGGTGGGAAGGCTGTGTCTTTGGTCAGAAGGTCAGAGGACAAGTTCATGTAGACAGGCTGCCTCCATGTTTCCTCCGGGACCCTCTGAAACCCCTTCAACCAGAGGATGGCCCCAACCAAGATGAGCAGGATGGGCACCTTCACAAATACCAGGAGTATGTAGTGCGTCCTGTGAAAGGGAACACAGAAGTCAGAACTCACGCTCTGTCACCTGACACTGTGAGCCATTAACCAGCTCAGCAAAGCCTGTGACCTTGGGCCCAGCAGCTCCACTCTAAAGACCCCCATGAACCCCCTTCATGGTTCAACCTCTAAGGCCCCTCCAACAGTAACCTCAGCTAACTCTGCACGGGGCCTGCTTCCTTTCTTAACTTCTATCTGGGGCTGCCCTTTGCCTGAAAGTACATCTCGGCCCAACAAAAACACCTGGAGGTCACCAAAGACAGGTTGTGTTCTCCTGCCCCTGTTCCTGTTAATGCCAGCTCTAGGTTGGTAAACCACTCCTCCTGCTCTGTGTCCCTTAATGTCTCCCACTGAGGAGATGGGTATCTGGGTACTTACAAAGCCACCAGTGCTTTTTGGTTGGCCAGTTGAAGGGGTGGGTAGTGCTCATAGAGAAAAGTTCTGCAGTGCGGTTTTCTGGTGGGGGCGAGAATGGGGTGATGGCGGGTAAGGAGGGATGGGGACGAAAGTGAGGGTGGTCTTGGGACCTTGTCTCTGGCTATAACAGGCTCTGGCATCCAGTGACAGAAAACAGACAGGAGTTCCCAGGCTTGGCTTCCCCATGGGAGGGGCCTCAGGTAGAGGCAAGAGAAAGGACCACATGACTCACCTCTTGTGGGAGCTGGAGGTCACCCCTGTATTGCTGGTGGCAAGTGGTGTGGAAATCAGTTTGGAAGATGTCCCTGTTGATGTGGAAGTTGCTCCCACTAGACACAAATTCAGTTGCAGGTGATTGGCACAGTTGGGGGTTCTTGCACTGCTCACAAAACCACCCCCATCCTGCTAGCCCCCTCTTCCCCTGGAGTAGAAAGCATCATCTCTTCTGTCACAGTCCCTTGGGCTTTTATTGAGACATCTCAATCACAATACACAATCTTTTTCATCATTTTCAAGTGTGGCAAGAACAAATAGAAATTAAGTAAGAGTAGCATTGTAACTTATTCTGGGGGCGAGAGATAAATCTTTTCATACTCTATTTCCACTTACTCCTATAGCTGGGATTGTTGGTTAGAGGTAATATACCCCTGGTCCTTTCCATTTGAACAGGGCTCAAGAACAGAAGTTTCTGGAAATGGGATATCTAGTTATTGGGGTCGTGAGGGGAAGGGGGACTCTGGAAGGCTAGTAATTAAGAGGACATATTTGGACCGGGCTCAGTGACTCATCCTGTCATCCCAGCACTTTGGGAGGTTGAGGCGAGTGGATTGCCTTAGCCCGTGGGGTCAAGACCAGTCCAGGCAACTTGGCAAGACCTCGTCTCTACAATAAATTAAAAAATTAGCCAGGTGTGGTAGCACGCGCCTGTAGTTCAGGCTACTTGGAAGGCTGAGGCAGAAGGATCACCAGAGTCCAGCAGGTCGACGCTGGGGTGGCCGTGAGCATGCCACTGCACTCCAGCCTGGGCAATGGAGTGAGACTCCAACTCAAAAAAAAAAAAAAAAAAGGACATATTTGTTAAATAGTGAACAACAACGGCAAAGAATGAAATATTTTAATTTAATATGTTTTTGGAGACAGGGTCTTACCCCTGGCTTAACCGTGGGTCACTGAAGCTGAGGTCTACACCGCCATCCCCAGCCAAGCCCTGCCAGCCCTGCTGTGCATCAGCTGGATTCCTCAGAGAGACCTCAAGGACTGAGATGGGACAGTGATGCTTGGCTGCTGCCCTTCCTCAGTTTCTCCCAGTGTCTCCCTTCCACCTGTCTGTCTGTCTTTGAGGCTCTCGGTCATTTTCCTTCAGCCCTTGGGGAAGAGGAGGCAGGAGCACTGACTTTTTCAGTCCTGAGCCCCAGAGCCTCCTAACATAGATGAGAAGGTTCTTACCTGGATCAATGATCACTTTAACTCGAACCCCAAGGTCAGTTCCAAATTTCTGAATCCCACACCAATAAATGTCTGTGTCATCTCGTCTGAGCCCCTCCATGGTCACTGTGAACCAGTGCTCTCTCTGATTGTCCCTAATGGACACACGGTCACTCTTCTCTTCTTGCTCTGACCCTCTGGTTCGAATGAGGATGTTGCACAAGTCCCAGTTTTCCCCTCGACACCACCACTTATTGTGAGTCTCCCATTTTTGGTCATAGTGACACTTCACAGCCACGGATCCCTGCTCTGGACCTCTCACAGACTCCGGGCCATAGATGGAGAAGCAGCCTGGAAAACAGAACACCAAGGTATAACTGCTGTCCCCCTGACCAGGCCAATGTCCAGGATCTGGACGAGGTCCCCAGCCTCCCCAGCTACCTCCAGCACACCTGGCTCCTCACATCCACCTCCCTCTGTCCAGCCTGCAACAGCTTCCTCAGTGACGATGCCCAGGCCTCTTCTGTCCTCCTCTCCCTGGGCCTGCTTACAGCATGTGACATTCTGGCTTCCTGTCACCACCTGTCCTTGTCCTCTCCACGCTGTGCTCATCTGCAATCTTTCTTCTCTTACTACTCTGCCTCCTCTCATCTTCCTCTCTCTTTAAATCTTGGTGTCACCGTGGTGAGTTGGAGAGTATTCAGCAATCAGCCCTTTGGGTAAAAAAAACTTCCAGTTTATAACATTTGCCAAGTTCTTTTTTTTTTGAGTCAAGATCTCACTCTGTTGCCCAGGTTGAAGTTCAGTGGCACAACCATGGCTCTCTGCAGCCCCAATCTCCTGGGCTCAGGCAATCCTTCTGCCTTGGCCTCCCAAGTAGCTGGGACTATAGGTGTACTCCACCACACAAGGCTAATTTTTTATTTTTTTGTAGAGACAAAGTCTCACTATGTTGCCCAGGCTGATCTCAAACTCCTGGGCTCCAGAGATCCTCCTGCCTTGGCCTCCCAAAACTAAGATGACAGGTGTGAGCCACTACAGCCAGCCTGCCAATTTCCATAGTGTAAATATTGCCCCTATGGCTGATGTCATGTTATCCATGTGACGTCGCTGGTTACAGAGCTGGGAAAACGTGTCCCCAGACCAGATCTTGTGAGCCAGTGTGCGTCAGCTTTAGCACACTGCGGGGGTAGTCTGGGGTTCTCTCTCCAGTCTTCATTTTGCCTCACCTTCTGGGCTTCATGAAGAGATTCTCTCTGCTTCTATGGCTTTCATTGTTGCCTGTATCCTCATGATGGCTCAATCCATGTTTGTGGCTCAGATTCTCCCCTTTGCTAGCCTGCCATTTACAAAGACACACTGGACATCTCTGCCCTAAATTCCGTCATTCCGGAACTGAATGCACTTCTCCCATCTTGAACTACTCCCTCTTGGTGGTTTCTCCCTAGTGGGGGATTCGACTTGGACAGACTAACAAAGGCCTAGTAAAAGCTGAACGGGTCCAGAGGTGAGCTGAAGTTGAAAGGCTGCCCCATGCTTCTGTTGACTGACTCCAGCTAGGGTGATTGTGTTCCCATAGGCTCTTTCCCTGGCCAGGCATGGTGGCTCACGCCTGTAGTCCCGTTACTTTGGGAGGCCAAGGTGGAAAGGTTGCTTGAGTCCAGGAGTTCAAGATCAGCCTGAGCAACTTAGTGAGACCTCATCTCTCAAAAAAAAAAAAAAGACATGCTCTCTCCTTGAAATAATCACTTGTCTTCGATCCCATGAAAGGGGATGAAGGGGCAGAGAATCCCAGAAGAAGCCCCTCTTGACCTCAGAGCCTCAGGCCCAGGCCAGGGTTTCTCTGTGGGGTGGAGGGAGTCAGGCCCACAAGTTGTACCAGGCAGGTGCCGCGTCCTCTCACCTAGGACCTTCTCCCTGGAGTCGTTTTAGCTTACTTGGACTTGGCATTCATGGCTGAAGAATAATGCCCCCACAGATGCTGACACGCTGACACCCAGAACCTGTGGCTATGTCCCCTGACATAGCAGACGGGACTCTGCAGATGTGACTACGTTAATTATCTTGAGACAAGAAGATGATTTGGGATTATCATAGTGGGCCTTAAACGTGGAAGAGCCTTAAAGGAGAGTCAGGCCTGAAGATGCCAATGACTTTGAAGATGGAGGAGGGGGCCACAGGCCAAGAAAAGCTGATGGTTTCTATTTCTAATAGAAGCTGGAAAAGGCAAGGACCTAGATTCCCCGCTGGAACCTCTAGAAGGAATGCGACCCTGCCCACACCTTGACTTTAGCCTGTAAGACCATTTCAGACTTCAGATCTTCAGAGCAGTAAAATGATACATTTGTGTTGTTCTAAGCCACGGAGTTTGTGGTCATCTGTTGTAGCAGCCACAGGAAATCAATACAGTAATCAATCAGCAGAATCCACTTTATGCTTTCCTTTTATTTATTTATTTATTTATTTTTATTTTTATTTTTTTTGAGTTGGAATCTCACTCAGCTGCCCAGACTGGAGTGCAGTGGCCGCTCCCGGCCACCGCAGCCTCGCCTGCTGGGCTCCGGCGATCCTTCCGCCTCAGCCTCCCGAGTAGCCGGAATTACAGGCATGCGCTACGATGCCCGGCTGATTTTTGATTTATTGTAGAGATGAGGTCTCGCTGCCCAGGCGGGTCTCGAACCTGCGGGCTCAGGCAATCCCCTTACCTCAGCCTCCCAAAGGCACGGGATGACAGGCTGAGCCACCGAGCCCGGCCACTTTATGCTTTTCAAAGTGACAACCCCACTCTCCAGCCTAACGAGCCAGCCGAGCGTCTTCCTTGGTGCCGTCCTCCTTCATTCCCCAAAAACTGACTGGTTTCCAGTGTAGTCAGCTCTACCTCCTTCAGAAATGATCCTCAGAATTCTTCTTCTTCTTTTGGTCTCTGCCACTGCAGGCCACAAGGACAGCATGGTACAGAGAGCATGAGCTTTGAACGCAGAAAGATGCATCTACTCGGACTAACTGGGAAGCCCTGGGTGCATCACTTCACTTCTCGGAGTCTCTCTTCCTTATTTGCAAAATGGTCAGGCTAGCTGGGCTCGGTGGCTCAGCCTGTAATCCCAGCACTTTGGGAGGCTGAGGAGAGTGGATTGCCTGATCCCGTGGGTTTGAGACCCGCCTGGGCAACTTGGCGAGATCTCATCTCTACAATAAATCAAAAAAATTAGCCGGGCGTGATAGCGCGCCTGTAGTTCCAGCTCCTTGGAAGGCTGAGGCAGAAGGAGTGCCGGAGCCCAGCAGGTCGAGGCTGCGGGGGCCGGGAGCGGCCACTGCACTCCAGTCTGGGTGACGGAGTGAGATTCTAACTCAAAACAAAACAAAACAAAACCAAAAAACGGTCATGCCACCTTATTTCTCATAGCTGGTGATCAGACTTGGATGTGTGTCCAACACCAGTCATTTGGGGGTTACTCTGTCAGCGACAGCCTGACAGCAGGTCAGGACCTCATCTTGTGCCTGGATCGTGGCAGTAGTATCCGAGGAGTTTTGCCCAGCACTGGCAGTATCCTCTCTCACTCTCCACCACTGCCTGAGACTGTTTGCTCCTCTCTGACAGTTGCGCTTGACATGAGCCCTACAAATCTTGCAGGACCTTTCCTGCAGAACAATTTAAAATGCTTTCCTTGGCATTCAAGGCTTTTTACAACCTGGATCCACCTTCTCTGTCCAGTGTGGCTTCCTGCCTCTCCCCCCAGACTGTAACCCACTTTTACATTTCTCTTCCCCTGACCCTGGCCGGTCCTCCCCAGCTGGTGTCTTTCTTTCCATTCTGAAACCCCTTCTCCGGTGCCTGTCCTTCTACTGGTCTCCTTTGACCTCTCCCTCAAGACTCAGGCTTCTTTGCCAAGTCTTTTTCCCCTTCCCTGCCAGAACCGTTCCTTCTGCTGCTCCCATGGCCATTGGTATGGAACCGGAGTGCCATATTGACATTGTAATATCACTAGTTGTCTCTCTTTATCTCTCCCTTGCTAGGATGCTCACTCCTGAGGAGCAGAGATTTTGTGTTGGTTTTTTCCTTTCTCTCTTTCCCACCCCTAGCCCCAGCGTCTTGCTCAGTATCTGGCTCATGGTAGGTACCAAGAAAGTTAGTGTCTTGTAAAGAAGCCAGTCGTCATGATCGTGGACATCATCACTCCAATTCTTTTTGTTTGTTCGCTTTAAGGACCGGTTTGCTCTGTCATCCAGGCTGGAGTGCCGTGGCAAGATATCAGCTCATTCAGCCTCAGCCTCCTGGACTCAGGTGATCTTGCCTCAGCCTCCCAAGCAGCTGGGACTATAGGCACATGCCATCAGGTCAGGCTAATTTTATTTGATTTTATTTTTTTGGTATAGACAGGGTCTTGCTATGTTGTCCAGGTTAGTTTCAGAACTCTTGGTCTCAAGAGATCCTCCCATCTAGGCCTCCCAAAGCATTAGGATTGCAGGCATGAGTCACTGTGCTCGGCCACAATTATTTCAGTTCTTTCCAAATCACATATTTCTATTATGTTAACATGCTTAACTTATCACTAACTGTTAAAACAACAAGGAGAAATCTTAAAAATTAAAAAAAAGGCCCATTAGGAGAAGGGCGGCCGAAGAACAGCAATAGCTGTAAATTAAAACCCAACACAGAAGTCAGCAGATAAGATCATTTTCTATCTTAAACAAAACTCACACAACTGCAGTAGAAAGTTAGGTCAACATAGGTTGCATTTGTCAGCAATCACAGGCAGAGGACAGAGATGCTGCTTCACCGAACAGAAGTGTCGCCAGACCCAGCAGCAGGCATTTAGTCTGACTTAAGAGTACTCATTAGGTGACAGGGCCCGTTCTCACTCTACATGGGCACTAAACACTGGGCACACATGGGCACAAGGATGAGGACAAGAGACACTGGTCACTGCTAAAGGAGGGAGGGGAGGGAGAACGAGGACAAGGGATAAAAGACACCACCCATTGGTACCATGCTCACTCCTGGGGGCGGAGGGGCTCATCAGAAGCCCAAACCTAACCTTTCTATACACATACCATATGTGAATGTATATGAGTATATGAGTGTGTAATCTCACATGTACCCATGATTCTAAAATAAAACATAATAAAAAAGCAATAAAATAAAAAATATGTGTAGGCTTTTATAAACACAGATGCTGGTGGCTGGGGCTGTTCATGTGTGTGCTTCAGGGCTTGGCTTGAGGGACAGGGGTGAGACGATAAGAGGGCTCAGAGCTGGGCCCTGGGGAGCATGGCTGAAGGGTAGTCAAAGTGTAAGACCGTGTCAGTTTCCGTCTTTCGATTTTGTGAATCTGAGATTCGCAAATTTTCTCATGTGTGTCCGTCCTCCAGGAAAGCCAGCCAAGCGTCCTTGTGTGAACAAAATCCTAGTGTGAATAGTCTTGTCTGACAATCCAGAGATGAGCCTGTGCTCCAGGTCTGAGCGGATGGCGAGGGATTGATGGTGCACAAGGCGAGGAATCCCAGCCGGCAGGTGTGGAGCGCAAAGAAGGGAGAACGTCGGAGGCCGATCCTCCACGTTATGGGTGTCCAGAGAGCCCGTGGGACTTTTACTGCCTGTGGAATAGGATTTGAGCCTGTCTCATGTTGGACCCGTGGGGCAGGGCCACCGCAGGGCCTCCCAGATCTGGGCCTCGGGCTGTTCCTGTCTCACTTTCCCTGTCAGGAGAGCGAGGTATGTCCTTCCACTTGCAAACAACTATTGAGCACCCACTCTGTGTCAGTCCCTGTCGGGAGCCTGGCTATCCCCTCTGGGTGTGGGGAAGGGTCATGTTACAAAGCAGAACATCCTACAAGAATCGGGTCGTTCTGACTTTACCCCCGTTTCTCTCTTTCTTCCATTTCACAGAAATAACCTCGGACTGTCTAATGGCAGCTCTACTGACGAACACCAGGCAGAGTGGCTTTTCTTTCATCCTTGCTGACTTCACCCCCTTCCCATATCAACGCTCAGGCTTGGACGAGGAGGGTCTCTCTGTCCTGTCTCCGTCCTGTCCTCCCCTCCCTGAGCCACCGAGCTGCCACAGTGGGTCTCAGCCTTTGCTTGGCAGAGAAGAGTGTTTGTGTGGGTGTGTGAGCGTGACCCTGTGAGCACGTGTGTGGCATGTGAGTACGTGTGTGTGTGTGAGTGTAGTTCACCCCATGTATGTGGATCTGAGCGTGGGTGGGTGACAGTCTATTGAGAGTGTGAATTTGTGTGTCTAAGAGGGAGATTGTGTGTGAGTGTATGTTGCTACGTGCAAGTGAGTATAAATGTATGTGCCATTTTGTGTTATTCTGAGCGAGCATGTGTGTGTGTATAGATGAGTATCAGTGTGACTGTGAGTAGGAGAGTGGATGTGTTTGAGTATAATAATAGAGATGTGTGTGGGGTTGGGACTGCAGTGGGTGTGTGCCGTGGACTCCACTGTGTGGTGTGTGTGTGTGTGTGTGTGTGTGTGTGTGAGTGTGTGAGTGTGTGTATAAATATATATGAGTGTGAGTGTGACTGTGAGTAGGAGAGTGAATGGATATGAGTGTGTAACCACAGAGATGTGTGTGGGGCCGGGGTGGCATGTGGATGTGTGCCATAGGCTTACTTGCGTTGTGTGTGTGAGTGTGTGAGCCCAGGCAGTTTGCCACACCCTTCTCCTTGGCCTCCAGGTGAGCTGGATACAGGGATTAAGAGAGGGAGTGGCCAGGCGCAGTGGCTCATGCCTGTAATCCCAGCACTTTGGGAGGCCGAGGCGAGAGGATTGGCTGAACCCACAGGTTCGAGACCAGCCTGGGCAACTTAGTGAACCCTCATCTCTATAATAAATAAATAAATAAATAAACTAGTCAAGCATGGTGGCGCATGCCTGTAGTTCCAGCTACTTGGAAAGCTGAGGCAGAAGGATCACCTGAGCCCAGCAGGTCAAGGCTGCGGTGGCCGTGAGTGTGCCACTGCCCTCCTGCCTGGGCAACAAAGTGAGACTCCAACTCAAAAAGAGAGAGAGAGAGAGAGAGAGAGAGAGAGAGCAGCTGAGGTCTCTGAACTCAAATGCAAACCAGGATTAGGGGTAACGCAGACATTCCAAATCCCTGTTCCTTGTGAATTCTGGGCCACATGGAGTCGTACTTAATTCACATGGCTGCAGCCCTCACAGCTGGTCTACCGGTATTGACACTGGGCTGCCTCTTTGTCAATAAAATCAACAACAGTGACAACGACTCAGGAGTGCTCAATGACCCAGGAGTGCTCTCAGCCCTTATTTACTTCCATCCGATCTGAATCGCAGAATTCCACAACTTTAGGGCTAACAGGGACATCTGGGTCTTTTCAGTCACATCAGAAGTCCAGGTCTTAGGACAATCGGGAAACTGCATGGATCATGGGCCCCAGCCAGGACTGGAGCTTGGGTCACCGAACCTCCTGGCCGTGTTCTTTCCTGCTGTCCCTCTGTGGACTGGTCTTTCTGTGCCAGATGGTCGGTCCCCAAGGCTCCAAGAGAGGAGGACTTTGCGACCCACATATGTTGCACGTCATGTGCAAAATTCTGGATTGTCCCCTGCACGTCCTCTAGGTGTCCACAGAGGTTTGCCATGAAGAAGAAGATAGTCACCCCTTCCCACTGCCCACGTGGACTCCTGAGCAGTTTTCTCTTTCGTCTCAGTTCCTGGGCGTGACATCAAAGAGCTTCATAATCTTGTTTTTTGCGTTTCCAACCTCATGCCCAGCCCGCCACCCTGGGTGTCCTGCGCACCAAGAACTCCCTCTGCACAAATGCACCCCCCTTTCTAAGCCTTCGTCTATTTGCCTGGCAGTTCGCTCACCCTGGAGTGCTCATCTCTCTGCTCTGCTTCAGAGTCCAACCTCCTTCCTTCAAGGCTTTGAGGCTTTGAGGCTTCTTCCTCTAGTTCCCCCAGCCAGAGCTGCTCTGCCCTCTGCACACACCCTGCCAATGCCTTATTGTGTCTTGCCATCTGTTGTTTACATGGGTGTCTCCCCACTAAGCCGGCTGGTGTCTGCTGCTGCTGCTTCTTTTTTTAATTGATGTCTCACTCTGTTGCCGAGACTGAAGTTCAGTGGCATGATCACAGCTCACTGCAGCCTCGAGCTCCTGGGCTCAGGCGATCCTTTTGCCTCAGCCTCCTGAGTAGCTGGAACTACAGGCACGCGCCACCATGCCCGGCTAATTTTTAATTTTTTTTGTAGAAATGTGTTGCCCAGGCAGGCCTCAAACTCCTGGGTTCAAGAAATCCTCCTTCCTCGGCCTCCCAAAGTGCTGGGATGACAGGCATGAGCCACCGGGTCTTCTTTGATGGCCAGCCCCTGTCCCCTTTTCCCTTCGTGTCCTCAAGGCCTGAGGCACCCCTGGCACGACGGAAGTCCCCAGTGCGCTTCTGCTGAATGCCTTAACAAAGCCACCTCTCAATTCCCCGGATGTGGCCGCGCCCCTCGGACCTGAGAAAGATGCCCTCTACCTCCTGCCCCGCCCCTGTGGTATCAAGCCCCCAAGGGTGCAGCTTCACTCACCTGAGAGGCTGAGAAAGAGCAGAGCTGGGGGCCGCCACATGACCCCACGACCCCAGCTCCCCTGACCTGTAGCCGGCAGCAAATGCAGATCCTAGCTGGACTCTCGAAAGCTCTGCCTAAGCCCAGGCGTGCACCTTCCGCTTATCCAGATGGTCTTTGAGTCTCCTATGCGTTCACTTCCTTTTATAGAGTGGGTATTTCCTGCTTTCAATTATTCAGCAAAAGTGGTGTCACTTTTCGGCAGGGCTGAGTCACAGGGTTCGAGCGTCCTCACTAGGTAGGAAAGAGAAGGCAGGGGACCTGCGGGGTCAGAAAGGGCAGAAGGAGATGTGTCCGCAGGGGGGTCGGGTGGGGGCCTCCGGCCCATCAGGCCTTGAGTCCAAAGGGTGCAGCCCTCTAGGTGTCAACTCCAGAAAAGTTTTGCATTTCAGTGATGAGTCCCAGCAGCATGGAACCCCCAACTCAAGTATCAGATGCACCATGCTCAGCATACCTGGAGGCGCCTTTGTTCAGGGGTCATAGCCAAGTGCATAAAAGTGCAGGCTGTGGGGTCAGACAGACCTAGGTTCTAATCCCACTAGCACCGCTCACGAGCTGTGTGACTATGGACAGCTCACATAACCTCTCCAACCCTGCTTTTGTATCTATAAATTGGGCTCATGATGATTGTTGTAAGAGTCAAATGAGAAAACACATGTGAAGTTCTGAAGACAGGGTACTAGAGTAGATTGAGCACTCTTTGCTACTACCCTGTGCACAATTTTAGCTACTAGATAAGAGAGCAGAATAAAATAAGCCCAGGGCAACTGGGCTCAGTGGCTCAGCCTGTAATCCCACGCCTTTGGGAGGCTGAGGTGAGTGGATCGCCTGAACCCGCGGGTTCGAGACCCGCCTGGGCAGCGAGACCTCCTCTCTACAATAAATCAAAAAATCAGCCGGGCGTGGTAGCGCGAGCCTGTGATTCCGGCTACTCGGAAGGCTGAGGCGGAAGGATCGCCGGGGCCCAGCAGGTCGAGGCTGCGGTGGCCGAGAGCGGCCACTGCACTCCAGTCTGGGCGACAGAGTGAGACTCCAACTCAAAAAAATAAAAATAAAAAAATAAGCCCAGGGCAAGGGGCTGAGGGGAGGCTCGTAGACTCAGTTTCCTCACTAGTAATACAATTCTAACCTTCACCGGACATAATTTAATTAGGCTCTTTATTTATCTTCCAACAGCTAAAGCTCTTGCGGAGTTTTTTTGGGAAGTGGGTGAGGGTATTGCTTTCCAGATCTCCAGAGCCAGCAAGAGAGGGAAGAGCCTTCCCCAGAAGTCCTGTGGCTGTGGTGATTCAGGCTGCATACAGAAAGACTGAGAGAAGGAAGTCCTGCCCTGGGGAGGGCTTGGGGTACCTGGAAAGTTGGGAAATAGTACACGGGTCTGGGATGTGGGCCTCACCCAGGTCATCTCAGACAAGTTCATGCAGGTCGGTGTCCACCATCTTAATTTTTCTGGAAACCTACAGCAAATTTGTTTTAGTATCAAAAATTAATGTACTCTCTCACATAAAAAGAATAAAGAAGAAAAAACAAATAATCATGAAGAGGCAAAAAAAGCACTGCATAAAATCCATTATTTTTTATGATAAATTAGGAATCGAAGAGTATCTATAAGCAACCAATTACAACCAGTGACAAATCACTAAAAGTCTTCCCTTTAAAATCAGGAAGAGGCCAGGTGCGGTGGCTCAGCCTGTAATCTCAGCACTTTGGGAGGCCAAGGCAAGAGGATTGCCTGAACCCAGGGGTTTGAGACCAGCCTGGGCAACTTGGTGAGCCCTTGTCTCTACAAAAAATCACAAAAAAAAAACTAGCCAGGCATGCGTCTGTAGTTCCAGCTACTTGGAAGGCTGAGGTGGAAGGATCGCCTAAGCCCAGCAGGTTGAGGCTGTGATGGCTGTGAGCGTGCCACTGCGCTCCAGCGTGGGCAACAACTCAAAAAATAAAATAAAATAGTAAAATAAAATCAGAAAGAGAATGAGTTTGCTCAGAATCACCACTTTGATTCAACACTTTGATTTGCCTGCACAATACAGCAGAAACAAAAGACATGAATTAGAAAAAAACAAAGTTTTAAATTATTATCAATAAATTGATTGTCTACATCTAAAACTGAAAAGAATTACTAAGATTTTAGCACAGTTTCTAAATAAATATATATCACATATATATTTAAAATCACTTGATTATCTATATACATGTGATGGATAACTTGAAAATGCAATAAAGAGATAGAATTAAAACAAGAATGAAAACATGAGGTATCCAGAGTTAAACTGAACAAATGTGTGAACAAGTTTCAAAAAGAAAACACTGCAACATTAAAAGACAATGTAAAAAACTAATTGAAATTACATGCCATATTCATGGATAGGGACATTATTATAAAGATAAATTTGATATGCTTACATTCAAAGACTCAACAGAGTTTTTTCTTTTTCTTTTTTGGAAATTTGACTGACTAGTTCTAGAATTTATATAGAAGAGAAAATAGCCAATATTTGCAAAGACATTCCTGATATCAAATAGCAGTGTATAGTGACATGCCCTACTACATATCAATATTTTAAAATAAAGCTGTAGTAATTAAAACAAATGTTGTATTGGTCTAGAGATAAGCAAATGGGAAAATTAAACAGAATAGAGAAGTCAGAAAAAGATCCAAGCATACACAGAAATCAGTATACGCCAGGAGTTGTACTGCAGATCAGTGGGGAAATGTGGATAATGCTTATCCAAGTGGAAGAAGGGAAAATGTATTATTACCTCAGCCTAGGCATAAAAAGAAATTAAAGGTAGGTCAAGGACTTACTTGTGAAAGGGAAAATTTTACAACTTTTAGAAGAAAATATAGCAGATAATTTTTTAAAATTTGAAAGTATCCATCATTTCTTCAACAAGGTGTGAAAGATGTAAACCATAAAGGAAAATAGTGAATAATTTGCAACATCAAAGTGAAAGCCTGTTTCTCAAAAGATACCATAAAGACAACAAACTTAGGAAAAGGTTGTTGGAGCACACATAACTAACAAGGAATTTGCAAATAATTTCTACAAACCAATGAGAAAAACACAGACAAGCAACAGAAAGTAGATAAAAGATTAAAAGAGGCATTTCACTACAGAGAAAATGCAAAAGACCAATAAATACAGAAAAAGGGGTTTCGTATCACTGGCAGTCAGAAAAATTCAAATTAAAACCATGAGATTCTATTTCATACCCACAAACTTGGAGAAATCTAGAAAGTCTGGTAAGATCCAGAGCAGTGGTAGAAGTAGGAATTGGTGCTGTTACTTTAGAAAACAATTTTTCCAGCAGAGTTGATTATACATATGCCGTAAAAACTAGCAATTTCTCTCCTAGGACTATACTCTAGGAGAAACTTTCAGACAGATACAATAGGATGCTTGGTCAAAAATGTTCATAACACTGTTGCATGTAAGAGCAGCGTTAAAACGAGGAAAAGAAGGAGGAAGAAGAAGAGAAAAAGGGGGAGGCAGAGGAAGAGCAGGAGGAAGAGGAGAAGGAAGAGGAGAAAGAAGGAAAAGAACACAAAAAAAGAAGAAAGAGAGAAATAAGACAATCTAAATGCTCATCTGGACCAGGTGTGGTGGCCCACGCCTGTAATCCCAGCATTTTGGGAAACTGAGGTAGAAGGATCCCTTGGGCCAGGAGTTCAAGACTAGCCTAGGCAACATAGTGAGACCTCGTCTCAACAAATAAATTTTTTAAAAAATAGCCAGGCATGGTGGCGCACACCTGTAGTCCCAGGTACTCTACAGGCCGAGTTGAAAGGATCTCTTGAGCCCAGGAGGTCAAGGTGAGCCATGATCTTGCTACTAAACTCTAACCTGGGCAACACATTGACACAATGAGAACTTGCCTCAAAAAAAAAAAGTTCACCCGCAGAAAAAGGGACATGTGGGATGTAGTACAGTCACATGAAAGAATGTAAAGCAATACAAATAAATGGCACATTAATGCATCAATGCATCAACATAGATGAATCTCAAAAATAAAACATTTTATGATAAAATCACACGACTTACAATTAAAAAATGCATCATACTATTTCTTTAAAGTTAAAAAACGAACAAAGCTGAACAATATACCCTTTGGAAATCCATATACATATAAATGCCAAATCCCTTAAAGCAAGGAGAAGATGAACCTAAGATCCAGGATGCAGTTCTCTCAGAGGAGGGTAGAAAAGACACACATAAGATAAGAAAGGAGTTGGGGCTTTAGAAGTATTCATGATGTTCTATTACTTAAGCCGGGCAGTGGGCACACAAGTGTTGGAAAGCGTTCTTGGTCTAAAGTGTATATATTCTTGCTGAGCTCGGTGGCTCAGCCTGTCATCCCAGCGCTTTGGGAGGCTGAGGTGAGTGGATACCCTGAGCCCGCGGGTTCGACACCCGCCTGGGCAACTTGGAGAGACCTCATCCCTACAATAAATCAAAAATTAGCCGGGCGTGGTAGCGCGCGCCTGTAGTTCCAGCTACTTGGAAGGCTGAGGCGGAAGGATCCCCGGAATCCAGCGGGTCGAGGCTGTAGTGGCCGGGAGCAGCCACTGTACTCCAGTCTGAGTGACAGAGTGAGACTCCAACTCAAAAATAAAAAAATTAAAAAAAAAATAAAGTGTATATATTCTTGTGTGTGCCAATACATTGCAAGAAAAAAGTCTCAACAAAGTTTGACAGAGTGCTCTGATAGGAACATGGATTTATGGATCAGAAGACCATTCCCAAACTCAAGAAGAGCATGTTCCTGGACAGGACATCGACGAGCATTGGACTACGGTTTCTCAGGATCCAGCTGACTACACCTCCCCACAAGACTTCTCTGAGGACCTCTTCACCCAGAGAACAGCACCCAGCAGGCTCAGAAGCAGGGGCAGCTTCAGGAGGACTGGAAGCAGAAAGTGGACACTGACGAGCAGGTGATGACCATGAGTCATCTCCGAAGGTTGCGGTGGGGGCACCTTGCTTCTATCCTTTGTGT